TCAGCAAAGTACTGAGGCCCTAAGCAACTTAGTGAGATCCTGTCTCAAAATGGGCTGTGATGTGGCTCAGTGGTTAAGCACCCCCGGGTTTAATCCCCAGTTCCAAAATAGTTTGATAATCCTGGAGTGGCTGTCTTGGGCAGGACGGGTGGGGGATGGGTTCCAAAAGCACGGGAAGGAAAGGGGAGGTGCTCTTTGCATGTTCCTTTTTCAGGGATGAGGGGTGGCAGTCCTGGGAGCCAAGGGAGCCCCAGAACTTGGGAGCTGGGAACAGCAAGGCTGAGGGGCACTGACCTCTTCCTCCCTGTCCCCAGCTCTGCACAGCCCACCTGAGGCTCAGCCTCCCAGCTGGGGTGGCCACGTTGGCCCTGCTACTCCTCATTTTGGGGTGAAAGGGCAGAACGGTGTGGGGACAGTGACAGGATCCCACCTTGGAGGAAGGTGCCCCTGGGTCTCCGGGCTGTGCTTTTGTCTGCCCTGTCAGGGTGTAAGTTGGGCGTGAGGCCAGGGAGTCATGTCCAAAGGGCCAGCAGAGCTTTCAGGGGGCTCTCCGGCCCGCCTGCTGCGTGCTGGGCGGTCACCATTAGGAGTGGGTGCCGCACGGTGTCTGGCGGGAGCTGCTGCCTGGCGGGAGCTGCTGCAGACACGCTGCTGTGCTCCAGTCTGGGGAGAGGAGGGAGTCCCGGTGGTGAGCCCAGCAGACCGCCAAGCCCCGTGGTCACCTCCTCCCATCTCTCTTTCCAGTCAGTTCATGAGCCCCACCTCCTTTGGCAGCCAGCCCTGCCCGGACACCAGCTACCCTGCTGTGGCCACCGCCCCCAGCTTCCTGCCAAAGAGCAGCGACTTGCCTCAGGTAAGAGCCACAAACTCATCTGTGGCTGGTGTTCGAGGGCATCTCGCTTGGGACACTGTGGCCATAGGTCCTCCCAGAGACCCGATGACTTGACTTGGCCCGGGGCCCCTGGTGCTGGTCAGGTGCTGCTAGCAGCAGGAGGTGTAGCTTGATTTCGGGGAGCAGCCTTGACTGCTGTGGGCAGGAGGAGCAACCTGCCTGGCCCAGGGGGCGTCACCTTGGGTCTGTGCACCAGTGTGCTAGGAGGCTCCTTCTTCATGGCAGGGAGCTGTGCCAGAATGGGCCCCTCCTGCCTGTCTAGCCCCACCTCACTGCTAAGCAGCAGCCCTGGGGTCAGCATGCCAGGTGACCCCCACAGGGAGCCCTGTGCTGGACTGCGAGCCAGCTTGCGCTTGCAGTGAGGGACCAAGGGGTGTCGGTGCTGCGGGATATTGGTGGCTTGGTGGGCCCAGCACCGTGGGGCACACCTGTCTTCCCAGCTGCTGGGGAGGCTGGGGCAAGAGTATCAGTTCCAGGGCCGCCTGAAAAGGGCTGGGTGGCTCAGTGTGGGGCTGCTTGTCTGGCGTGGGTGGGGCCCTGGGGGCATCACGTGCCACACACAGAAGGAACCAGCTGCGTCCTGGGGTACCTTGGCTTGGCATCTGGTTTGGGAAGGAGGCACGTTGGCTCCATCTCTCTGTGTCTCTCTGGATCTCTGTCTCTTCTCCGTGTCTGTCTGTCTGTTTCTGCTTGTCTCTCTCTGTCCATTTCTCCATGTCCTTCATCTCTTTGTCCCTGCCTCTCTCCCAGCCCTGCCAAGAGTGCAGGAGCCTGGGGTGGCTGTGCTGGCTGCTGCACGTGTGAGCCTTGCTCATCTTGGCATGTGGTCTGGCAAGTGTGGGCCAGTGCCCGCCCCTTAGAGGGGACCGTGCCATCCCGCCTATCCCGTGCATTGAGTGCCTACTGCACCTGAGGCCTGCTAGTGTGCTGGGGCTGGCACCCTGGTTGGGTCAGGTTGGACACAGGCCTCCCTGGGAGAGAGCCACACGCCTGATCCCTGCCAGCCTCTCCCCTCCCAGGACCCCAGGCCTGTTGGCTGGGCCTCGGTCCTGTGATGCAGGAAGTTTAGACCTTACCCTGGCCAGCCTCGCCACACCACAGCCCCTGCTGCTGGCACACAGGACGGCTGGCAGAGGAGCCCCGTCCTCCTCCCGGGGCAGAGGGCTCTGAGGTGGGATCAGGGGAGACCCTGAGCTAGGTCACCCAGGGTCACCTCAGGGTCCTCCTGAGAGGAGGCAGGAGGGTGAGAGGGAGCCTGGAAGATGCTGGGCTGCTGGCTCTGGAGCTGGAGAAGGGACTGGGGCTGCAGGGCCTCAGGAGCTGGAAGAGAGGGACGTGACTCTCCCTGGGCTTCAGGAGGGCCGGCCTGCACACCTGGGTCTGGCCAGGGTGGCCAAGTCGGCTGTAACCAGAGCTGAGACATTGCAGGTGCTTGTTGGCCGCTGTGGCACTGGCAGGGCTCGGCCTGGCAGCAAGAAGAAACTGGGCCTCCACGCGGCTGGCGGCCAGCTGCTCTGCTCCAGCAATGGCTGCGGCTGTCCTGCAGCTCAGGAGCTGGGGCGGTGTGGAGCAGGGCTGGGTCCAGGATGGAACGATCAGGCTTTTCCTTGACAGCTGCCAGCCCTGGGTCTCCTGGCAGCTGGAACAAAGGAGAAAGGAGGCGAGCCCTGGGACCCCTGGCCTGCGGGAGAGAGCCCGCCCCTCTGTTGCTGAGTCCTCCCAGTTTCCTTGGGGCGCCCTGCGTTCTCCCTGTCCTGAGCTGGTTAGTCTGGGCTCTGGCCTCCCTGCCTGGATTCTGCAGAGGTGCCCGCGGGTCCAGTACCAGAGGACTGGCTGCAGGAGGGGCTCTCTGGAGAGCTGGGCTTTGGCACACGGCGGCTCAGTGTTGGAGAGGCTTCCTGACCGTGGAGTAAGACAGTCCAGATTCATGGAAATGTTGCAGGATCCGAGTCCTGAGCACCGCCCTCTCTCAGTCTCCCCGTGAGAGATGGCCTCAGGGCCGGGCCACCCTGGCACAGCACTGGTGCCCAGATGCCACCTGGCTCCTGTGGATGTCCTGCTGAACCTCACCAGCTGTTTGTGGACGTCCCTGTGCTGCGAGTGCTTGTCCCATGATGAGCTGGAGGTTCTGCAGTGCAGGCAGGAGTCCTGCAGCTGTGGTGGTGGGTCCTCCTGGGGGCCCAGTTTGGAGGCCCCATGCGGACATCTCTGATTCTGAGGACCAGGCGCGACACTTGGCTAGGGGGTGTCTGTGGACTCCTATGCGGGGAGCATGGTGGTCCCCTGGATGCACAGCCTGGGCACCGTGGGAGCCTGCGTGGACCCGCCGTAAAGTGTGGCTGGGTGGCTGCCTTGTGCCTGCTCCTCCATCACTGGGATTCTCTGTAGGGACAGGTGTCCCTTCTCCCCTGCTGCTTAGTGTTCTTCTCATTGGGAGGCTCATGGGTGTTTATGCAACGCGCGGGTCACTGTAGATGGTGCGGTGACCAAGGCATGGCCAGCTGTGCGACAGGGCCACCAGAACATTGGGGCCTGTCCTGAGAGCCGCTGCCCCCCCACTGCCCTGGGGGGGCACTACTGGACCACCCACAAAGCCAACCTTGGAGAGGGGCTCCTTTCCTCACTAAGCCATCTGTCTCCAGGGTGGCATGGGGCCACCAGGCTTGCATGTCCCTGGGCAGTGGCCTGGAGCAGCTCTAGGGCTCCCCGAGGACTGCCCTACAGGGCTGCAGGTGTGTGGGAGTACTGGACTGGTGGCTTTGCTCCCGTGGTTTTTATAAATTGAGATGATTTATAAAACAGAAAAGGCCTCATGTCACCGGGCGTGGTGGTGCGTGTCTGTCAACCCAACAGCTCTGGAGGCTGAGGCAGGAGGATCACGAGTTCAAGGCCAGCCTCAGCAAAAGCAAGGCACTAAGCAACTCAGTGAGGCCCTTTCTCTAAATACAGAATAGGGCTGGGGATGTGGCTTAGTGGCTGAGTGCCCCTCAGTTCAATCTCCAGTACCCCTCAAAAGAAAAGACACGACACCATGTCCAAGTGCCCAGCTCTGTGGTTCTTACTACATCCCCTGAGCTACGTACCCATCACACCAGCTCCAGGATGTCACCGGCTTGTGGCCCGGCAGCACTCCAGGTGAGCGAGGCCACACCATGTCCACCTGTCTGTGTGGGCTGTGCTGGTGTCCACCATCTCTGGAGCTCACTCCAGTGGAGTGGCTGCTGTGGTGAGCGCGGCTGCTGGGCGGAGTCGGGCTGGACAGTAGCTGGACATGTGTTCCAGATGAGGCTGGGTTGGATTGGGGTGCACTTGAGGACACACTGGGGCCAGCAGCGTCTGGAGCCCCGCTGGCCTGCTCCTTGTGCTGAGTGGGCTCTGTGCAGGCTCCCCGGCCCCTCCTCTGGTTCCTCATCACCCGCTGCATTCCCCAGACCCATCCTTGGTGCACTGCTGCCTCGAGGTCCCTGGGTTCCCGACTGCAGGCCACGGGTGTCGCCCCCAGTGCCCATCCCCCATAGATACCCTGCAGTTCCAGGGGTGGGTACTTCTGGACCCCTCCTCCCGAAGCCACCTGGACCCCCACATGGCCACTGGCCCTCCATCTGGGAGGATGCCTCCCAGGAGTGGTCAGCAGGCTGGGCCTGCACCCAGGTCCCTCCGTGTTGCAGGACTATCAGGAAGGTGTTTGTCCAGGAGCAGTGTGCTGTTGCCAGCCTGGGGGCTGCTGGGAAGCCAGGGATGAGCTCACGCCCGGGAGAGTGCCGCCTGAGCTGCCACCCCCCACCACGGCAGCTGGCCTCCACTCTCCTGCTCTGCAGACGCAGCTCAGCAGGTCAGAGGCTTGGCCCACCCACGGCCAGCTTCCCAGTTACCGGCAGTGGGTGGAAAGAGAGGGAGAGACGGGAGAGGGAATCCTTACAGGAAGCCCTGTAATTCCCCAGCCACTCAGGTTGAGAAGACCCACCTCTGCCCCGTGGCCCGAGGAAACCCGGGGGCTGGAGGCTTCGAGGACCACCGACCAGCAGCTCTTCAGGGAGGGGGACCCCGCAAAAGCTACTGGCCAGGGAGTGGCTGCAGGAAGGCAGGCCCCGGCTACAGCGTGAGGCACACAGTGGCCGAGGCTGGGCCCGCCCCGGGCGTCTGGGCCCTGCAGGACTGTGCACAGGCAGAGCAGAGTGTCCTGGGACTGCTGTCCCAGAGCGCCAGGGCCTTGCAGTCCTGGAGGCCGGTCTGGTGTCCAGTATGTGTAGGGCCATGCTCCCTGCAGAGTCCACCTGGTGTCCCTTGGCTTTGGCCACTCGTCCCCAGCCTCTGTTGTCACTCAGCCACCTCCTCCATGCTCTGCTGTCTGTGTCCCCCTGTCTCATGAGGACACCTGTCCTCACACGAGGGCCCACCCTGATTGATGTGACCTCATCCTCATCAGTCACTCTGTACAGACCCATTTCCAAATGAGGCACAGGCCCCACGGGTCAGGATCAAAGGTGTCATTTTGGGAGACACAGTCCCCACTCCACAGGAAGCCAGAGGCTCTTCCCAGACATCCTTCTCTGACCCACGGCTTCCCAACTCGAGGGACAGAGCAGTCCCCTGCTCAGTCTGCTGCTGTGACTTGGAAGCTCACCCACTGCAGGGCTCTTCCAAGGGCCCAGCCAGGGCCACCATGCCCTTCCAGGGCTCAGTGAGGCAAGAGGTGAGGAGGAGGCCCAGGACCTGGCAGGGGTGGGGTGGCCCCGGCCTGTGTCCACATGGTCTAAGGATCAGTCTGTCCCACGGCATGGACACAGCCAGACGGGCACAGCCCACCCAACCAGGTGCCACTGAACAGGTCCTCTGCCTGTCCCTGACACTCAGTCATCGTGCCTCCCTCCTCAACGTCCACTCCAGGCCCAGTGTCCCCTGGCACCGGCCACCTCTCCTCCCAGCTTCAGTCTGCACCCCTGCAGCCCCTTGTCGCCATGCTCACCTGCCCCAGGGCCCCTTTCCTAGTGCTGCACTGCTCTGGTGCCAGGTGGCTCCGTTCCTGGTGTGGAACCAGTGGGCCCCAAGGCAGCTGTGGCCCTGTTCTTAACACTGCGCCAAGCCCTGGGCACAGATGTTCTCTGGTCCACACCGCCACACCTTCCTCAGGAAGTCAGGGGCAGTTTGGAGGCTGAGAGTGAGCAGAGAGGCTGGGGTGGAGTGGGTGATGGTCCCCAGGCAGGAGACCCCCTCCAGCTGCCCCTGGAAAATGAATCCCCGTAGCCTGAGTGCCCGTCCCCTAAGTACCCACTCATTCTGGCCCTCACCTCCTCTACTGCACAGCAAGTTTCTGGAGACAGGAGTGGGGGCTGGGGTCAGAGTTCAGGTGGTCTGTGGGTGTCTCACAGCATTCATGCTGGTCAGCCTGATTTTAGTCTGCACTATACTTTGTCTTTTTATTTTAGTTTCCTACTAACCCTTTTAAAAATGAGACTCCATATAACTGCTGGATGTATTGGCAACGCCTGTGATCCCAGCCACTCAGGAGGCTGAGGCAGGAGGATCTCAAGTTCGAGGCCAGCCTGAGCAACTTAGCAAGGCCCTTAGTGAGACCCTGTTGTAAAATAAAAAAACAAAAAGGGCTGGTGGTGTAGCTCAGTGGTAAAGTGCCCCTGGAGTACTGGGGGCAAAAATTCACATGAAGTTCGTCCTTTTAAAGTACGATCACGGAGTTTTGCAGTCACCGTGTCTATCTAATTCCACACATTCCGCCAACCCAGAAGGAAGCCCTGTTTCCACGAGCAGTTCCCCATCCCCACCCAGCCCAGGACCCACAGGTCCACGTCCCGACTCTGGACTCCTGTCCTGGGTGTCTCCTGTCACTGGGTCACATGCATGAGGTCCTCAGGTCCATGTAAGCCGTCACTTGGCTCCTGCCTGGCTGAGGCCGCCCCGGATGGCTGGGCTGGGCTGTTGGCATGTGTGGTCAGGTGGGCTGCTGTGCCTTGGACACTGGGCGTCCAGCCTGTGTGCGACCTGCCTCCCTCCTCCCAGGCTCCCTCCCGGGGTTCAGCTGCAGGTGCACGTCGCTTTGTTGGGCTGGGTGTGGGCGGGTGGCCCCCAGTGGCTGGCTGCCCACACCCTGCCAGCCACGCGTGGCGTGGGTCCTTCTGCCAGCTGCTGGCCCTGGCTGTCATGCACTGTCTAGATCTAGGCACCCTGGGGCTGTGAGGTGGGGGCGCTCTTGCCCCAGCTGGTCTGCCGGCATGGCCGAGGGGTGGTGACCTTGGTCTACGCTGTCTGTTGCTGGGCATTGAAGGGTCTCAGAGTCTAGAACTGACAGCCCTTTGGGGGCCCTTGTGGGTGCTGCCTCTGGGGCCTCCTGGTTCCCCTTGGAGCCCTGGGAGTGGCCCCACCACCTGGACTCCGTAGGCATCTGGGGGCACTGCTTCCCCATGGGCCCCTCACCTTACAAGGAGGGGACAGTCTGGCCACAGGCACGTGGGACTGCATCTGCTCCAGCTACTGAAATCCACAGTGGAGGCACGCTTGCTCTGTCCCTCTGGCCCTGGGTCTTCAGCACCCAACTCTGGGTGTCATCAGGAATGCCCACGCAGGACTCCATCCAGGTGCCACCTTACAGTCTGGACCAGGTCCCTGGCCGGGCAGGCAGAAGGATATTCCTCTGTTCAGAGCTCTGCTTGCCGAATGGCCAATCCAGCGTGTTCTCCTTCAGATTAGCTCTCCACCAAGCTGAGGCCCTACTCTCAGCCACCACTGTTCCTGCAGGCTGTGCTGGGCACTGGGTGCAGGCCAGGCTTGTGCCCACCCCCAGCTGTCAGTCGCAGCAGCCCTGTGTCCTGTCCTGCCTGTGGCCTCTAGTATGCCCCTCCAGGAACTGCTTTCCAAGAGGGGAGCACATATCAGCAGCAGATGGAGGGGAGCTCCCCGTGTGGGCAGGGGGGTGTGGGGAGCACAGGGGCTGGACCTCCATTCCCAGAAACCTTGCCTCCCAGCAACTGTTGTGAGGACCCCGGAGCAGCATCTGGCCCTGGCCAGGCCCAGGGAGCAGGCAGAACAGAACCTGGCACCTTAGCAACCTGGGGAAACTGAGATCTGTGCCCCCTCGCGTTTGCCCCCACCCCAGTGCCCCAGAGGAGCCTGGTGAGGCTGGCAGGGCGCACCCAGACCAGGCAGCCCTGCGTTGTTGACAGCCCGTCTGTGGCTGGATTACGCCCCGTACAGTAATTCTCCTCGCTCTGCCAGTAATTGCCCTGACTTACCAGGCAGGCATCATTTCCTGAAAGTCAGCCGGCCTTAGAGGAAGTAGGCGCGAGGCCGTGACTAACCCAACATGCAAATGCAGCCGGCCTGAGACAGCGCAGTCCTCCCTCCGCCCCCGTCCGCCTGGGACGGACCGGTGCCGGGCTGCCTCCATGGTCATGAGGGAGACTCTTAGGCGGCTCCTCCAGGGGACCTGTCCAGCGGCCGGCACAGCCACGCTTCCCAGCCATGTCCCAGCTGCGCTTCTGCCTACAGTTTGCAGCTCTCCACGAGGTAACACTCCTGCTCCCTCGGGCGAAGGGTGCTGGTGCTCAGGTGGGGGCCTGGAGAGTGAGACCCCACCTGTCCCTCCAAATGTCCCAAAGGGTAGGAGCACCCAGGCTGTGAGTAGCCCCTGGCCCTGCTGTTGTTCTTTGGCAGCGAGCACGGATCTGAGAGGGTTTTCTGGCAGAGCTCTGGGACCCCGGCAGGCCAGGCCAGAGCAGACACAGGAGGGGCTCAGTCCAGCCCCAGGGAGGGCCCCAGAGCCAGAGCAACTGGGCTGGCGGGGCTGCCGTCCATCTATCCCTTTCCCGGCCCAGTGGGGGACTGGTATCAGAACCTCTTGTGGACCAGGGTGGGTACGACTCGAGACTGGCTCTGCTCGCCTGGGTAGGGCCAGGTCCCCATCCTTCCCTTAGGTCCCTGTGAGTCTGGCAGGGGTGGGGCAGTACCTGTTTCTGGGGTCATTTCTGGGCTCAGCTTCCTGGACCAGGAGGGGGTGTGTCTAGTGTTCTGAATGTCCCCCCGGCAGCCTGGGAGACCCAGGCCAGGTCCTGCCTCCTTCCTGCCCCCTCCAGGGCTCCTGGAATGGGAGGCTAAGACCATCCAGGTGGCCCCAGGCCCTCGTGGATCCTCACTGTTGGGCGTGGCCGCCAGCCAGCTCCCTCCTCCCTAAGGGAGGAGCACTGAGCCCAGACTTTGGAGGGCAGCCTGCGGGAGGCTCAGGACTCCCTGACAGCGGGGCACACAGCACAGGCTGAGGTCACAGATGAGCTCGGGCAGGGCTGGGACAAGCTCCAGGGGGACGGGCACTTGGGGAAGACTGGGGAGCAGCGGGGCAGCGAGGTGGGACCCGGCACTAGCCTTTGTGGAGTTCAGGGAACTCCCAGATCCACATCCAGACAGAAGTGGGGTAGGGGTGCCTACGGGGAGGGGGTCTCTCTTGACCCCCTCTTAGCCCCACTCCTGGGACCAGACAGTGGATGAGATCTGGAGGGACCCTGGGCCTGTCTCTCCCCACCCCTGAGAAGTGAGGGGGCCCAGTGCTCCAGGTGCCTGGTGGGGTACCCTGCTCTGGAAGGGAAGGAAGGTGAGGGTGTGGGCTCCGAGTTATGCAGGGGCCACACCCCACACGCATGGTGACATGCCGTGCCCTCGTCACACTGGTGACCTACATAGATACACTGTATCATTGACAATTAGAGCCCACACTTTACCCAGGTTCCTGCTTCCCCTCGTGTCCTTCTCCTGCCCTGGGACCCGATCAGGACCCCGGGTGTCACCGTCACCACACCCCCTCTGGGCTTCCTGGACGGTGTGGAGAGGAGTGGTGAGGTTTCAGGGCCTGCCCCTCAGCTGGGACTGTCAGTTCTTGTTCTGTGACGAGGTGGGGCCAGGAGGACGCTCCCGGAGGGCCTTGTCCTCCGCCCCTCCAGGTCTGTGCCCTCAACAGGCCCTGGCTGCTGCCCTGGCCTTGGTTCCCTGCCGAGTTGGGGCGTCTCCCCTTCCCCCACTGGAGGGCCCCTGAGCGCAGCCCACAGGGCATGAGAGCTCTGCTCTGCTCTGTCCTGCAGACAGACCCTGGTCAGGCCGGGCCTGACCGCCCCTCCCCAGCCCTGAAGCAGGCTCCATGGTGGTAGCTCTCAGCCCCTGTGAGGGGCGGCTCAGTGAGGACCCCACCACCAAGCCAGAGGCAGGGCGCGCTCCCTGTGGCCACCTGCTGGACCTCCACCAGGCACGTGCCTACCTGCAGGGGGGTGTCCCTATTCCAGGCCCACCAAAGCCCCAGAGCTGGGGACAGGACAAGCTCCCTGGCATTGTCCCCTTCACCTGGACTCAGGCTGTCATGCCCAGAAATGGTCTGGGACAAGACTAGTGTATGGGTGGCCTGGGTCAGATTAGGCTGGACCCACGTCACCAAGTGGCCTCACGGGAGCAGCCAGTTCCTGAGACAGGGTCTTCGTGACTTGCTGATCTGTTGGGTACCCAGCCTGCCCGCTGTGGAGCAGTGGACATAACCCCTCTTTGCTCTCGCCGCTACCCTTGGGCTCTTGGGCTTCTCTGCCTTCCAGAGCCCCCACCCAGGCTCCCGAGGGCAGGAAGGGCCACGGTCCTGCAAGCAGCTACCTGCCTTCCCGCCAGCGCTGGGTTCTCCTCCAGGGACTTTCCTGCCAGTGAGCGGGGGCGGGGGGAGCCTCTGCTGAGGGTCTCGGATCTGCCCTCAGCCCCGCCTCCTGCCCAGGGGGTTTAGGCTGGGCATGGAGGAGGAGTGGGGTGTGCAGAGCCCCCACCCCACCAGCTAAGCCAAGGGTGGCGGTTGTCAGGACTTGCTCCTTGCACTGGGCGGGAGGCAGCCTGGTGGCTCATAGCAAGCAGCTGCCCCTCCTGCTTCCCAAGCGTCATTGGTGCTTCTGTCCACAGGGGGACCAGGGGCCCTGGGGCAGGTAAGAGAAGGCCAATCCAGGCCCTCAAAGGGGTCCCAGGGACGTTGCCAGCATGCTGGTGGCTGTGGGTGGCCCTGTGCATCCATGGGTGCCCACAGGACTCCAGTTTGTATGTCCTGTTCGCTTGACCAGCTGTCCTCAGGAGACCCTAGCCAGAGCTCCACCACAGAGATCAGGTAGGACCTGACCTGTCACAACTGGGGACTGACTGGGCACACCTTGAGGAGGTTACAGACACTTAAGTCCCACCCCCACTCCTACCTTCAGGAATCGGGGTCTGAATGTCAGGCACATCACTGTGGGATGAGCCAGGATGGCCCTCAGCAGGGCAAGAGAGATCAGGGGTCTCCTGTCCTCTGTGCCCTCTGAGATGCGGGGATGCTGGCCTAGCTATGCCCTTGATGCCAGTCTGAGACCGAGGACCTGTGTCCTCTGGTCACTCCATCCTCCTAGTGTCTGCCCATTGATGGAAGGGAACTGACCAGGTCCCAGGAATGCTTCCCCAGAGCCCAGAACCCCAACCTCAGCCGACATGGCGACATTCTCTGGGCTTCTCAGTGGCCCCCAGCCTGCCCTGCACCCTGCAGGCCTGCCCCCTCCCTAGCCTGCTGTCAGGACTGAGTGTGGGGGTCCTAGCAGCCCCCTGGATCCCAGCCCTGCTAAAGAAGTGCTGCTGGCCCAGGGCCAGGCAGCAGGGCTTGGCGCGCTGGGCCTGGAGGTGCTGGAAGCGGGCAGATGGCACTCCTCCTGAGCCAGGCTCTTGGGGTGCTGCCCTGGACCCAGGGGCCTTGTCTGCAAAACAGGAAGGGGCAATGTGAGTGCCCCTGCGTTTGGGGTCCCTGGGCGGGGGCAGGCTCCCCAAGTTTCCCAGGTGCTAGTGGGGTGGTGGCAGGTGGCGGTGAAGATGGGCTACAGTGAGAGACTGCAGCAGCCCTCCGCTCTTTCTGCACCCCATCTCTTCACAGGTTGTAAACGACACGGTTCAACTCAGTGTGGCCGACGCCAGCCACAGGTGGCACTACCTGCACAGCAGGGGTCCCTTGGCCCCTCCCCACCCTGCCTGGCCTTTTACTTTAGTTTGAGACAAGTTCTTTCCAAGTTGCCAGGGCTGGCCTGGAACTTGCCATCCTGCCGCCTCAGCCTCCCAAGTGGCCGGGACGGCAGGAAGAGCCAGGCTTCCTTTCCCGAGCTGCCATTCATATGTGGTGTGATTCACTCATTTAAAGGGTGCGGGTCAGTGGTGTTAGTATGTTCATGATGTGCAGCCATGAGTTCTGGAGCATTCCGCCACCCCAGTAGGAAACCCTGTACCCTTGAGCAGCCCCCCTTGCCCCCAGCATTCCAGCCCTGCAACTGCAAGTCCACATCGTCTCTGGACCCTCCTGTCACTGGGTCACACACTGTGGCCTTGTGTGACTGGCTCTCACTGAGCACCAGGTCCTTGGGCCCCTCCACACTGCAGCTGTGTCACCTCACTCCTGCTCATGGCTGAGGGACACTCTGCCCCATGATGGATGGTCTGTGTACTGCTGTCCGCCGTGTACACCTGGTGCTGCCTCACCTGGGCTTGTCTTCCAGGACGCCTCGTACCTCGAGGACCTCTCCAACGCCTCCATCTTCTCTTCGTCCATCGACTCCCTGTCAGACATCGCAGACACCCCCGACTTCCTGCCAGCAGACAGGCTCAGCCAGGTGCCCACCATCTGGGATGTGAACACCACCGCGTCCACCCACGACAAGGTCAGTGCCCCGGACGCTGCCAGGGCTGCGCCAGACTCCACGAGCCCTCGCCCCACCCCAGGCTGGGCACCCTCTCCTCACCCTGCTCTGTCCCTGGAGACAGGCTCATGCACGTGGATGTGAAGAGGGATTCTGGGTAGTAATTTTCACTCAGGGGACTCTGGTGACTCCAGAGACATTTGACTGTCACCCTGGGGAGCTACCGGTGTTGCTGGGTAGAGGTCAGGGACACTGCTCAGCACCTGCAGTGCCCAGGATACCCACCTCAGAGAACTCTCTGGCCCCTAATTTTAGTGGTGCCCAAAGGACAACACCCATCCAGCCCTGTCTAAGGTATTTGGCAAGAAAGAAGCTTCTAGACTGGGAGGACAAGTGAGGAATGTGTCTGGGGGGCCTGAAGTGGAGGCTCTGGATGCTGACATGGGCACACACCCTGGATAGCTGACGGGCTGGGGCCAGTAAGGGGGACAGGAGGCTCCGAGCACCTGGCACTGACCCCACCCTCTACCATCATGTGGGGCCACTCAGGCCTGTTTCCCCTTGGGATCTGTGCCCAGCAGGCACTGCCCACCCCTAGGGGCCTGGCTGGCCTTCAGTGGGTGGCACCAGGCCATCTGAAACCTAGTGTGGCAGAGCTGCCCACCTGGGCTGGAGCATAACCAGTCTTCCAGGAACCCACGCAGGGTCTGCCTGGCTTTGTGTCGAGTCAAGAGGGCTAGAGGTTGGGTGGGAACTGGGACTCTCGGGACTTCCTTCACTTTTTCTTAAAAATCTCTGGTCGGGCCAGTACGGTGGCAAGGGCTATCATCCCAGTCCTCAAGAGGCAGAGGCAGGAGGACGGCAAGTTCCAGGCCAGCCTGGGCAATTTGTGAGACCCTGACTCAAAATGAAACACAGAGGGTGGGCTGGGCCCGTGGGTCCCTGGAGAGGGCTCGCCAGCAGCGCGAGGCCCTGGGCGCCACCCTCAGCCCTGCAGATGTTAGAAGATCTGGGGTGTCCCTCACCTACGGGAAAACCAGGCTGTGAGGGTGGCGCCTGGATGGGACCCAGGACCCTTGTTCCCCCATGAGCCTCCAGCTCTTCATGGCCCTGGGGCTGGGGCAGCTCAGGGGCCAAGCCTGCTGGGTCCTACGGTGAGGTGTGCTAGGGGTCGGCGTTGGCGGCCACTCCTGTTGGCTCACACACACGGTGTCCAGGCTGGGCTCACTGTGGCTGAAACGAGAGCCACACATCCAAAAGGGTGTTTTAGAACCGCCAGGCTCCTCTCGGGGTCCTCTCCCAGACCATTCACAACTCTGGTCAGTTCTCAGGCCCTGAGGAGGCCATGAGTGACACACACTCAGTCCAGAGGCCAGGCCTGGCTGCCAGCCCAGAGTCAGTGCCCCCTGGCCAGCTTTGCCTACCCTGCCCTCTGTCCATCAGAATGCAACTCAGGCAGTTTATCTGCCTCTCCAAAGTGAACCATGGTCTGGTCATCCCTTCACCCTGGCCACTGCACAACGGGGCATTTCAACCTATTCACCCACAAAAAGCCTGCTGTACCCCTCAAATACCATATCAAATGGCCTCCTGTACAGTCCTGCCAGGCTAGTATCACCAGGACCTTGCCCAGGGGCCCAGCCGACATGCCGTGCAGCCCCGAGTTTTGTCTCATCTTCTCCCTGGAAAGGACCCCCCCCCCCCAGTGTCCCCTGTGCTCCTGTGGGCCTGTGTACCACCATGGTCTGATACACACAAGGCCTCAAGCCACCAGACCTGCCCAGCCTGTCAGCTATCCCACCAGCTCCTGTGAGACCAGGGGCTAGGGCTGTTGTCCATGAAGACTAGTAAGTACCTTTCCCAGGTGGCAGGAGCCATTCAGGAGGCCCCAGCTGACACCCTGTCTACCCTCCAGCTGTTCCTGCACAGTGGGCCCTTTTCAGGCCTCGAGGACCCCGTGACCTCCCTCCCTAGCACTCCGCTTCTCGTCAGCTACCAGGTGAGCCAGGCAGGCCAGCCGGGGCTCCCTCTCTTCCCCTCCCAGACCTCCTGGGCACCCACCTAGGCAGGGATCTCAAAACCTCAGGCCACTCCGCAGTGAGTGCCCACTTTACAGATGAGGAAACTGAAGCCCAGGTGAGGTGCCACCTGGGGGTAAGGTCAGGCCACCCCCACCAGGTCGTTTGCTGGCTTTGGGCAGCCAGGCTGCTATCCCCAGGGGAGGCTAGGCCAGATGTGGCAGCATGGGGCCTCTGGACTCTTATATGCACCTGCAGTCACAGAGCCAGCCCGAGGAGGAGGACGAGGGGGACGAAGAAGAGGAGGAGGCTGAAGAGCTGGGTCATGCAGAGACCTACGCAGACTATGTGCCGTCCAAATGTGAGTGGCTCGGCTGGGTTGGGGCACTCGGACACCCTCAGCCCCAGGACAAGACCCTGCGGACCCCAACTAGGGGTTGTGGGCCCAGGGCCACAGCCACAGGGCAAGGGCCAAAGTGCACCTGGTCCCCTTGCCCCTTCCAGCCAAGCTCGGCAAGCAGCACCCAGACCGTGTGGTGGAGACCAGCACACTATCTAGTGTCCCTCCACCTGACATCACCTACACCCTGGCACTGCCCACCGCAGACAGCGGGGCCCTGTCTGCCCTGCAGCTGGAGGCCATCACCTATGCCTGCCAGGTGACTCCCCAGACCCCAGCTGCTGGGGGAGGGGCTGGCCCAGGAGGGAAGCCCAGGCTCTAACCGCCCATCCCGCCGCAGCAACACGAGGTCCTGCTGCCCAGCGGGCAACGCGCGGGATTCCTAATTGGAGACGGGGCTGGCGTGGGCAAGGGCCGGACAGTGGCTGGTATCATCGTAGAGAACTACCTGCGTGGCAGGAAGAAGGCCCTATGGTGAGCGCCTGCTCCAAGAGGGCAGGGAGTGGGCGGGGAGGGGGCAGGGACCGGCCCTGACCCGGCTGCCGCCCCAGGTTCAGTGTCTCCAACGACCTCAAGTATGATGCAGAGCGGGACCTACGGGACATTGAGGCTCCGGGCATCGCCGTGCACGCGCTGAGCAAGGTGCGGGGGGCGCAAGCCCACGCTGGAAGGGCGGGGGTCGCGGGGAGCAGCCCCGCAGTGCCCACTCCCATTCCACAGGGGAACCCCAGCCGAGAAGGCCGAGGATCCCCATGCTTGCGCCTGCGCCTGTTGCAGATCAAGTACGGCGACAACACTACCTCAGAGGGCGTCCTCTTCGCCACCTATTCCGCCCTGATCGGGGAGAGCCAGGCTGGTGGGCAGCACCGCACGCGTCTGCGGCAGATTCTCCAGTGGTGCGGGGAGGCCTTTGAGGGCGTGGTATCCTGCAGGCATTACCGGGGCCAGCCTCTGGACTTCGCAGCAGGAGCAGGGTTCCACAGCTCACCCTTGCCCCCCACCTCTCCCGAGACCTGGCCTGGCACTGGCCAGCCAAACAGTGACCAGAGACTCTGTGTTGGTGTTTGTGATGAGTCCTGAGGCGATGGTGGCCTCTGTGCAGCCTGCAGGCATGCAGATGGTACCCAGGGTCCCCGCCATCCTAGAGACAGGCCTGGTGCCGAGGGCTGGGCCTTGCTGGGAGTTGTCAAGGGCCAGGATGCAGGCCCACAGGGTCACCTTACTTCACATCAGTCCTGGGGTTGAATCCAGAAGGCTGCCACTGAGCTACATCCCCAGTCCTCTTTTGTTATTTTATTATTTTGAGACAGGGAGCCTAATGTGGTGGCCATGTCTGTCACAGTGACCAGGGAGGCTGAGGCAGGAGGATCATAAGTTCAAGCCTAGCCTTGGCAACTTAATGAGACCTTGTCTCAGATTTAGATGGAAAAAAAAACAAAACAAAAAAAAAAGAGAGAGAGAGAGAGAAACAGACCACCTCAGGATGTAGCTCAGAGGTGCAGTGGCCCTGGTTCTAACCCAGGTACAAAACGGGAAACCGAACTGCACCCAGGACGCAGAGGTGAGCACCTTGCCATCCCCGACGGCAGCGGTGCCTGTGTGCGTGCCGCACTTCCCGAGGCCTGCTGGAAGCTGTCACCCAGCAGCTGACAGATACGCCTCTGCCTGACTCTGCATGGCTCCGAGTCCCCAGGCCCCAGGGCTTTGGCCTGGGCTGCCCACACCCCTTCTGGAACGCTCCTTAACCTCGCCCACCCCAGATTGTGTTTGACGAGTGCCACAAGGCCAAGAACGCCAGCTCCACCAAGATGGGCAAGGCCGTGCTGGACCTGCAGAACAAGCTGCCCCTGGCCAGAGTGGTCTACGCCAGCGCCACAGGTGGAGCGTGGGGCCCCTGCCAGTCTTGGGGCAGCGGCAAGCCGGGTGGGCTGGCTGGGGCACAGGCTGGGCCTGCTGCCCACAGTTCCTCAGGTCCAGCCCACACCCAGCTTCTCAAGGCCTGGGGCAAAGGCTCTTGCTGTCCCTCGGCCACCAGACCATCAGGGCCTCCCCTCTGCCAGTTGGCTCTGCCCAGTCTCAGCAGGCGCCCCAGGTCCCCTCACTCGGCCCTCCCTCCCTCCCATGGTCGTACCCGAGCCCCTGCACCCCACTGGCTTCTAGCTATCCCCTCCTGGCTGGTCAGGAGGAGCTGACGGCTCCCCTCCCCAGGTGCCTCTGAGCCGCGAAACATGATCTACATGAGCCGCCTGGGCATTTGGGGTGAAGGCACGCCCTTCCGGACCTTTGAGGAATTCCTGCACGCCATTGAGAAGAGGTGAGCGCCTTCCCAGTGCCTGGTGGAGGCGGCTCCCACCAGCACCCTGGCCTCGGCCTGTGTCCTGTGTGAAGGCACGACGCAGACCTTCCTCTGCTCAGTTCCCGCCAGGCCCTGGCCCTGCACAGCCTCTCTGCCTCCTCCACCAGGCTCCTGGGACCCCCAGGCCTAGCTGCAGATCTGCCCGGGCTGGCCACACTCTCTGTGTACCTGCTCTTTCCCGTCCCAGTTTCCGCCCCTCCCTAGAGTCACTCCATCTTCTGGTGGGACGTGGTGCTGAGGAGGCCATGCCTGTCCGCAGGGGTGTAGGTGCCATGGAGATCGTAGCCATGGACATGAAGGTCAGCGGCATGTACATCGCACGCCAGCTCAGCTTCTCTGGAGTCACCTTCCGCATCGAGGAGATCCCCCTGCCCCCAGCTTTTGAGCATGTCTACAACCGTGCAGCCCTGTTGGTGAGCCAGGCCCCCGGGGCAGGGGTGGGCCTGACGCAGGGACCCTCCGTGTGTCTCCTCGGAGCAGCCTTCGTCCTGCTCCCCTGTTGGGAATGTCCTGTGGCTGTGACACCAGGGTTTCAGCCGGAGCCCCTGCCACCTTCCCAGGGTTCAGGAGCACTTTGTCCCAGGTGGTGGCCTGTTGGTGGCTGTGCTTAGATGAGTTCCATTCCTTACTGGCCTGGGCATAAACCCTTGACCATGCCCTGCTTGTGCCAGGTGACTTCTTTGGGTCAGACAATCCCAGGGTCCCCTTCTGCACTGCAGATGTGGGGTGAGGTCATCCTCTGATGGCATCCTAGGCGCTGTAGGCCATTCCAGGCCAGGAGCCTCCAGGTGTCCCCAGAGGTGTCCTGGTGTCCTCTGTTGCTAAGGCATCAAGAGTGGATGACCTCAGAGGCGGGCCTCAGCTGCCCCCACCCTCCCCTGGGCTCTGTACCGCTGCAACCCCAGCCCTGCTCCCCAGCCCGCTCCTGGAGCTCTGCCCGGCCTGTGCTGGCTCCTGGCCTCTTCCTGTGCAGATGCTATGCGCCTCTGTGCAGGCAGGCCTAGGCTCAGGACACTCCTTGTCCTTGCAGTGGGCTGAGGCCCTGGGCGTGTTCCAGCAGGCAGCCGACTGGGTGGGCCTAGAGTCGCGCAAGTCCCTGTGGGGCCAGTTCTGGTCGGCCCACCAGCGCTTCTTCAAGTATCTGTGTGTCGCTGCCAAGGTGCGCCGGCTGGTGGAGCTGGCCCGCGAAGAGCTGGCCCGAGACAAGGTGTGCAGGCCCGGCCACTGTCCCCGCTGCTCACTCCTGCCCTGGACTCCTCTCACCCTCCCGAGAGCTGCTGGGGCATCAGCTGCATCGTGGGTGTGGCCATCAGAGGGGACCAGACTCTGTGGTCCATCTCAGTCACGCAGGCCCAAGGGTGGTGGGGTCTGAAATGTGCTGCAGAGGTAGGCAGGACTGGGCAGGGTCTGCAGGAAGGGACATCTAGGCTGTGACTTTGTGGTAGGCAGGCTAGCCAGTCCTGAGATAAGAAGACTGCTGATCCCTTGCCCATCACTGCCCCTGGGGAGACTCCCGGCCACAGGGGAAGAGTGTGGCTGGGAATGGCAGTCTCCCCACGCCCAGCTCAGAGCCACTGTCCCTGCAGTGTGTGGTCATCGGACTACAGTCAACAGGCGAGGCGCGGACCCGTGAGGTGCTGGACGAGAACGAGGGGCACTTGGACTGCTTTGTGTCCGCTGCTGAGTGAGTGGGAGTGGGGGTCGGGCTCTCACTCAGCTGGGCTCGCTAGGCTTCCCATGACCAGCCCTGGCCTGGCCCTGCCCTTTGGTCCCTGTCAGCGGAGGATGGGGGTCGGGAAGCTGTGTTCAGGCCACAGTGCCAACCCTGAGGCCTTAAACTGCTTGTTTTCTGGCTAGGAGAATTGGCACGGGTGACCCCAGCCCCAGCAGGTGCGGAGGTTGTGGTGGGGTCTGTGGGTCTCGCGTGGCTCAGGCACCTAACCCTCTCACGGGTTTCCAGGAATGGCACCATGGTCAGTCCCCACAGCGCCAGCCTCACTTCCCACCCTGCTCAGGGTCTCCACCCCTCTGCTGGCTGCTCGTCACCAGGCCCAGGGGCTCCCACAGCACGTCCCTGAGCCCCAGGGTGCAGGCTGCCCTCTCTTGGAGGTGCTTAGCTACTCCATCCAGGGTGCCTTCAGCCAGGACATTCCCAGGGCTCAGGCCCCTGCCCACGCTGCTCCTGCCCATCTCTGAGCATGCCTGAGGTCCTTCACAGGGGCCAGTGCTGCCCTGGGGAGGCCAGCCGTCCCCACACCCCCACTTCCCAGCAGGCCTGCACTGGGCCTGGGGGGAGCACAGCCTCTTCTCCTTGCAGAGGTGTCTTCCTGTCGCTCATCCAGAAGCACTTCCCCTCCACCAGGAGGAAGCGGGACAGAGGCGCTGGCAAGAGGAGACGTAAGAAGTGCCCCTGCCTCAGGCTTCTGTGCCCGCTTTCGGCTTCCCACTCCCCTCCCCCTGCTCCCATCCTCCCTCCGGAGCCTGCAGGGCCTCTCTCCTGACTCAGGCCACCCTACACCATAGAGGAGCCCCAGGACTGTCCCACAAGGGGAGCTCAGGGGGCTGTCCTGGGACACTGGCACAGGCTCAGGCGCCTGCCCACCCTGAGGAGAGCAGCCCAGGGCCCTGCCCAGCTGTCGCACTAGCAGCACTGGTGCTGCCAGTGGCCATGGCCTGCAGCAGCCTCACCCTCACCCGGCAGGTGGGGCCTCCGGGCTCCACCAGGGTCCTGCACTGCTCAGACAGTGAGCCCTGCTGGCTGCACAGACCAGGCTGGGGCCCCAGAAAGCGTCCGCCAGACCCTGAAGTCACAGCATGTGGGTGAGGGTGGCCATTGTCCTGCAGGGCACCTGAGGAGCCAGGCCAAGAGAAGCCAGGCCTGAGGGCAGAGAGCTGGGATTGCAAGGGCTCTGTCACTCTGAGGCCCTCCATTGCCCACACCCTCCCTCTCCTTCCGCTCGCCAGGCCTCGAGGGTGGTCAGCAGCAGCACATAAAGCCCTTATGCTGCTGTCCCCTCTGGGGGCTCTGGGCACATCCTTTGACCAACCCATAGGCCAGCGTTGCCTGGAAGCCCAGAGCTGCCTCATGAGAAACACCAAGCTATGGATGTTCAAGGTGCCCCTTTCCCCTACGCCCTGCCCCAGGAACAGGGGACACGGGTTTCTGAGAAGGAAGACCCAAGAACACAGCCAAAATCACGTGCACAGGGCTTCTGCCAAGGCGCCCTTCACTCCAGGAGGAGCAAGGGGCTCTAGCAAAGGCAGGGCAGTGGGCATGCAGACAGCCCTCCCCGAAGGCCCCACCTGGCTCGGCACCTGGGAGTCCCCTGCGCCTGCTGCCCCAGCTCGGCCTGCCTTTCCTGCCCCACTGTCTGGCACCACCTGACCCCAGCTCCTGCACTGCAGGGCGGCCGCGGGGCCGTGGGACCAAGGTCCCCAGGCTGGCGCTGGAGGGGGCTGGTGTGATCCACATCAGTGATGACAGCAGCACCGAGTCAGACGCTGGCCTGGACAGTGACTTCCACTCCTCCCCGGAGTCCCTGGTGGACGACGATGTGGTCATTGTGGACACCACAGGGCTCCCCACAGATGACCGAGGTAGGGGTCTACTGGGGTCAGGGTTGAGTGCAGTCCTGGTCCCGCCCCACCCTGGGCTCTGGTGGTGGGTGCAGCCTCCTGGTAGAGGGGGACACTGAGGCTCAGAGCAGCCAGGGCAGGGCCACGCGGCCTGCCAGAGGGGACCTAGCTCTTTTATGCAGTTTGGGCCTAGAGGAGGCCAGGGCTGGCACCCCAGCTGGCCTGGGGGAAGACAGGTCTCAGGCAGCGGTTCCCACCGTCCCTCAGGCTGGCCAGGACCCCTCACTGCCCCTTGTGCTGATCCAGAAGGGGTTTATGTCAGGCGGGGCTGAGTCCCACCCTGACCCTCTGCCCTGCAGGCCCTGTGTGCTCCCTGCAGAGGGACCTGCATGGTCCCGGTGTCCTGGAACGGGTGGAGCGGCTGAAGCAGGACCTCCTGGCCAAGGTGCGAGCGCTGGGCCGGGAGCTGCCGGTCAACACCCTGGACGAGCTCATCGACCAGCTTGGGGGTCCTGAGCGAGTGGCAGAGGTGAGCACAGCCTGGCTCTGGTTGACTCTGGGTGGCAGCCCCTGTGGTCACCCTGTGCCACTGCCAGACCCCAGGACAGTAACAGGGCCCTGGACACAGTGCCCAGTTGGCAGCTGGGCTAGGAGATAGGCTGCCTGGTCAGGACCGTCCTCCAGCCCTGGCCTGGCCTGGCTCACCCACTACCTCTTGTCCCTTATCTGCTGTCCCTTACCTGTGTACCAGGTAGCTAGAAATGTAAATCTCCAGATACATCAAAACCACGGCCAGCTGAGACCATGCTGCCCAGGGCGCAGCAAGTCCCCACCATTCCCACACAGCCAGCACGCCAGGGTCACCAGGGGGAGCTAGGGACACCCTTGGGTGTCACACCACTGACAACCTGTCCCTGGGCTCCCTGCCTCCGCCACAGATGACCGGCAGGAAAGGCCGGGTGGTGTCCAGGCCCGACGGGACGGTGGCCTTCGAGTCGCGGGCAGAGCAGGGCCTGTCCATCGACCACGTGAACCTCAGGGAGAAGCAGCGCTTCATGAGTGGAGAGAAGGTGTGCGGTGGGAGGGCGGGAGGGGCCTGGGCCCAGCCGGGCTGCAGACACCTCCTTCAGGTGTCCCCAAGGGGGACAGTGTGGGGTGAGGGTGCACCCTGTGCCTATGTGGGTGAGTGTGCACCCCTGTGCCTATGTGTGTGAGTGTGCACCCCTGTGCCTATGTGTGTGAGGGTGCACCCCGTGCCTACGCTGGTGTGAGTGTGCGCCCCTGTGCCTATGTGTGTGAGTGTGCACCCCTGTGCCTATGTGTGTGAGGGTGCACCCC